CTCAAGTCAGGAAAACCAGGGGTTGGAGTGCAAGCCATTCTGTAGGAGGCTATTGGCCTCAAATTGCTGCTGCTCTGCCTTCCTCAGAGCATCCAGGGATGAAGGACGCCATCCCTGCAGCACCACTACTCATCCTGACCAGGTATGGTCTCTACAGGTCAGCTTTGACCCACACTGTCTCCCAACTCCCACCACTGTCATCTGAGCCAGGTGTGAAGCTCAACCCTAGAGGTGTTCCCTGCTTCCTTTCACTTGAGACTCTCACCCTCCCATCTCGAACAGCCACCAGTGGGCTCATGGACTCCCTAAGGCATTGACTATTAGAAAATTGGTTAATTTTCTAAATTGCGTTGAGAAGTTTAAAAATAGTAGAAGCCTGAGGAGATGCAATGACAAGACTCTCTGCCCCTGCCAATGAAATTCATTAATTTCAGCCACCTCTTTATAGAAACTGGATATTATCCCCATCCCTGCACCCTTTATCTTGCTTTGTGTTTTTGAGGTAATTGGTTACCTTCAAATTACTATGTCAACTGTCTGGTGAAGTTCTTAGCTTTCTTTGATTTTATGATATTTTCTAGAGGTAGCTCGTGTCAATTTGAGAAACTATTAGAGTAGTGAGTAGAAAATAGGCCTTAGCATCAGAAAAGTCTAAATTTAAATCTTTGCTCTGCCACTTCCTAGCTGCAGTGGCACTTGCCTAACTTCCTTGGGCAAGTTAATACAGAGGATGCCAAAAAAAAAAAATGTATACACACTTTGAGAAAGGAAAAAACTGTATTAAAATTGTAATATCCAATACATACCAATAACAAAAGTTGAATAGAAGTCATATTTGACTTCAGTAATTACAAGAGTTGCTCAAAGTGGTTACCATCAGCATCCAGATACTTCTGATTACGGCGAACTACTACTTGAGCAACTTTGGTGCGAGGCCTCCCGGATCTTCCGTTGTGCACATCACACACAGTACCATGCATCTCAAACTTACCGTGAATGTGTGCAATTGTTAGACGTGCTGGCGGTTCTGTGGCATACTCACCCCTCCATTGTCGCCGTACTTCCACAACATTCTCGAATTTCAAATACCACTTCAAAATGGTCTTGCATGCCAAGAACAACAACTGTGCTTCTGCCATTTTTTTTACTGTCCTGCCTGTCGCATGGTGATGCTAGCATTCATTCATTTGATTAACGCCATCTTTTGAGCGAACATCATACTACACATTGCTATCGTAATCCAGTTCAACTTCAAAAAGTAATACATAGAAACATCTCTTAAAATGTATATACATTTTTTTGGCACCCCCATATATATGGTGATTATGTGTTAATTTAATCAATAAATGTTTGTGGAGTACCTGCTGTGATGCCAAACTCTGTATTTGCTTCTGGTGGGAAAGGTCATGAAAAATATGATCTTTCTAAAGAAAAAAATGGTTTCAGGATATATGAGATTTTGATGTAATCCCATACATCAGAAATACTTATTTTCCTCATGATAGGAATAGTGAAAATAAGAACTCCAAAGTGTTGCTAAGGCAGATATCTAATATAAAGTTCCTAAGACAAATGGCATCATTGGTGATTCAGCAAATAATGTCCTTCCTTCATTCCTCTTTTCTGCCTTTTTTTCTACTCGAGGCCTTTGTTTATGGAGGAATGTCATGCAAGGGTTTTCTTCATGTGTAATCAAGACAGACCTGTAGATGCTTTAAGCAATACTATCTCGTATTCATCTCTGCCCTCGAGGCCCTAACAATCTCTGAAGTATGCTGTGACATTTCTCAGGCTTGTGACCTTATGATATAAATGTACAGTGTTATTTAGTTCAGTTCTGAACATTTCCAGTAAACACTTTAATTTTTATAAAATATTTAATTACTATTAGTAGAGAACATAAACAGTTTATAGTTGCTAAGAAGTCCTTGGCCAACTCATTTTTTTAGGTGTACAGCATAAATGTCACAACCTCTAGGAAGCATTCTCTGAGTACTTAAGATTGTTTCTGCTCTGAGACCCCTCTACTTCTCTGTCACGGGAAGCACTGCAGTGATTTGTCTAAATTTAATTCAGCCCGTATCATCCTGGATTCAAATATCAGCTCCAACTCTTAGTGAACTTTGGCAAGTTTCTTAATCTAAGTTCCCCTTCCCTCATCCCTAAATTGGGATTAATAAAAACAGGGTTAAAGGAGAGCATGCACATTAAGTGCCTCCACAGTGCCGGGCACGTGGGAAGCAGTCAGTAAGTGTGAGGTGCCATCATCATCACCATCACCATCGTCATTGTCATTACAAGTGCTTGTTGAATATGCTTTTCAAAGATATGACCAGGGGCCATATCTTTGTTTTCCATTTTATCCCCACCTCCTAACATAGTTTCAGACACATAATAGCAGTTTAATAACTTGATTGTTAAATGGTTGAGGCAAATTTTGGTGGCTCATATGACAGCAGTGGCTGCCGAGGTTGTGCGGCCCCCCTCCGTAAGACGTAATTTTTATCTTTTATGCCCTCAAAAGCAGTGAGATGAGGCCTAGTTCCTTCAGGAGTGAGTCTACCAGCTCTTAGAGCAAGTGAGATCATGTAAAGCCCACAGCATCTCAGAGCTCAAAGAGTTTTTCTCAGCCTCCCAACCCACCCCTTCCATTTTACACAGTACGTGCTAACACACCGGCTATTCCGCTAGATGAGACATGCCCGTGATTGGAGGGCTGCACACCCAAGAAGGAGAACTTACAGGGCAATTGAGTTTGAGTAATACAGCTATTTTTCAAATTTCATTGTTTTCATCTGTCATCATCTTATTTATGGCATTTGTTTTAAGGATAACACTTAGCTAAGTACTTATAAATAATAAATGCAAATAATAATAATGATTAGCCAGAGGTGATGTTACTTTTAAAGAAGAAAAAAACTGATATCCGCTATAAATGTAAGGAATATCCACCACGTATGTAAACAGTTCATTAAGAGAGTGCATTACGATCCTGCTCACCTTTCTAAATTTTATCACAAAACATATTTCAAATGAATAATAATCTGTGACTGCATTGGCAAAAAAATATTTCTAATATAAGTGAGATATGGGGAAAAAGTTTAAACCATGTAAATACTCTAATTGGTCTAATTTTAGGGCTTGCCATTACACAGAGGCTGAAGCTTTGCTGTAGAAGAGCTTCATTTACTCCTCCCCGGCAATGTAAGACATAAGGCCAGACTCCAGCACAGTTTTCCAAGGGTTCATGTTCCTTCGCATCCATTGCATTTACTCAAATACACCCTAGGAAGACAGCACACACCTAGTTAACGTAAACAGAACTGCGTGTCTGGTGGCCATAACAAAATCAATACCTAAATTAGTCCAAGACATTCCTAAATTACCACTTAGATAGGAAAACTGTTGGGAAAGATAAAAGGAGCATAAAGAATTCATCCTCAAAGACTCTGAGTTTCTACAAAAGGGAATCATTAACCCAATCAAGCTGCAAAATGGGAAAACAAAGAGTTAAAGAAGAAAAAAATTGCCCTCAGCTGAAGAAAAGGAAATATTTGTTACATTTGGAGAACTTTTACTGAGTGTGTAATCTGAATACCACATAGCACACAAGAAGCAGATCTCGTTTCATAAGCAACCATTAAGTTACTCGGCAACAAAGACCACCTTGCAAAGGGTCTCTTCAATAATGGTGTTTGCTTGAAAGAACTCACTCCAGACCTGCCTTATATAAACACACAGACAGTTTTAGTGTGTTTCCAATGTCTTATTCAAAAGCATCAGCAATTCTCACAATTTTTTATATTCTGGAGTTATATTGGCAGGTGTTGTTATACTAGAGAATATATACTGGTTTTAGAACATGTGATACTTAGATACAAGCTTTAGAATGTAGGTTTCAGTACAGCCTCATTAACTCAAGGCTGTAAATTTAGAATTTGTGATGATTTGGCTTAAATATTATCTATATAACATAAAGGGAAAGAGGTACGCTAATAAACAAAATACATAGTCTAAGCAGTTAGCAAGAGCAAATGATGCAATTATTTAAGACTAATTGAATTTTTAAGTCTAACACTAATTTTAACTTTTTTGAAAAATCTTTTTTGCAGAAATATAATCTATGCATTTAGATCCAGCATCTCAGGTTATTCTAGTGTGGTCAGCCTCCTACCAGTAAACAGACTGTTCTTTGATTATTTTAGAACAGCCAGCACATGGTCTTTCTTAGAGTAGGCGATTAGCACAACTGTTCAGCTAAAGCATGGATTTTTTTTTTTTTTACTAGCTAGTGCTTTGTTAACCTAGTGTGAGTTATATTGTATGACTTTAAAATGGCAAAAATAGAACAAAAGTAGATTTCCCATTCAGGTTAACTTTCTCTGTCAGTCCAAGTTACTAACAATTTACTATATAATAAACAATCTAAGATTTCTGCTAACAATTCTTGATTTTGCTAAATAAAATTTATTTTCAGAAAATTGTAAAGATGATTTCCTTCTCTGATATCCTTCCATTAATCATGGAAAAGATTATTTTGCATGCTTTTCTCAATGTACCTATGGGAGAGAGGATATGCCTATGTGTCCTGACAAAGTCAGTTATCTGAATATATTCCACTTTGGAATAGCAGATGTAAGTGCTAAGCAAGTAACTACCATCATGTTCAAGTTCAGAACTTGAAGATGTTTCATTATATATATAAACCCTTTATTTTTAGATGTATCGAAATACCAAATATGAATGGTCACGTATGTCCTAATGCACTTGAGAAATCTTACTACTAATTTTGTGTCACTAATTTTTTAATACTGTATTTAAGAAAAAAGTCATGTCTTTTCTATTGGCGTTAGTCAGAGGGGGAACAAAGCTTAATCCAGATGTTTTGTGTGAATGTACATTCCTCACTAAATCTCTTAGGCAACCACTTCAGTGACTGTTACTAACATGATGCTCTGTCATCTCTTTGTATACATGTCTAATTTATCAGTTTCTTGTAGATTGTCAGCAGCCTGCTGCCTCCATACCGCCACAGTGCCCACAACTAGCCGGGAGGCAAGACTGCCCGACTGTCAGGTAAATTCAGATGTCGTTTCTTGCCCCAACCAGCTGCATGTCAGATCCACAGACCCCAAGCTCTCCTTTCCAACCCCATAACCTCCTGTACATAATTAGCTTTGCTACATTTTACTTCAAATGTGGGCAACACAAACACACATTGGATACCTGAGATCCTTTCATGCCCCTGGAAATCCAAGAAAGCTAGAGTTTATTTTAGTGTCCACTAGTGGGCAAAGTAAAGGCTGCCGTCAGCTTCCTGGTGTAACGAAATATTTGGATTACTCCAGTGTATCATTACTTTCTAAAATAGAAAACCTGGAATTGTTAGGACGTTGGGCTTACTTTTTCTATTTGTTTGTCTTTTGTCCTTAGAACATAATTATCAGGCAAACAAACAGGAAAGATATAAAACATATCTAATGTCTGTTCCAAGACAACTTTATGCAAGTTTCTGTGTTCTGTCCATTCAATGCCCTCGTTAAAACTGAAATTAAAAGGTGGAGAACAATTTGTAATTGGCATTCAAAAAAGAATATTTACAGTGATAGAGCCCTTCGTGTGACATTAACTGAAGAATTTCAAAGGCAGGTTTATATACTTCCCGGACACTGAACTAGAGAGTTTGCTGACAATTTCTATTCCAATGAAAGCTTTGCAAATCCATCATGAATTCACTCAGTCCTGAGCACCTGACAGGACCTCATCATCTCCCCGTAACACTTCATCTCCAGTTGTTTGACTTCTGATGGGGCCAACTTTTTATAGTCTGGTGTGGTTTTTATATCTGCTTATTGATCTTTCTTCCTTTTAATGTATCTGTCACTCTTCTATGAGGGTGAGGCTTCTTTTGGGTAGGGGCAGGCCCAAACGTATTCCCATGTATGTGTGAGTAGTAGATGTCAGCAGTAAGCTGCATGTGGTCATGGTTTAGCCAGAGAGCTGGGAGCCACAAGTGCTGCCGAGAAACACAGCAGCAGCCAAACCCTCAGTGTGACTTGGTCTCTGAAACGGTTGTGCAGCCAGCTGTCTAAGTGGGACACTGAGTTAGCAGGAAAAAGTATATGATTAAATAGGCCCCAAGCCAGTGTCTCCTGATCCATGTCTCAGCCTGCCCTTCCCATCATGTCCAGCAACAAGATTTTTACTTCAGGAAGGTTCTTTGCAAACATTCAAATGCCATTTTATAACAGTAGCCAGCTGTAGAGTAATTTCAATTCTATAAGTAACTAAATATAATTATAAATGTTAAACCCATCTCAGTGGGATTCCATGTGTGTCATGGTGAAGAATGTAGCCTCTTAACCTACAGCCTGTTCACCACAAAGCACCTGTCACCCCACCCAGGGCCTGGGACAATGCCAAGCACATGACATGTTCAGTACCTACTGTTCCCAGGAATGAGTGAGCTCTGGAGTCAGATTGCTTGGGTTTGAATTCCACCCCTACCAGCTGTGTAGCCTTGGAAAGTTGCTTTTGCAGGCTGAGATTGCGTTTCTTCACCAAAAAGTAAGGATAAGAGTGAGGCACAGGCCTGGCCCATTGCGTGTTCTTAATTGATGTTCTTGTTACTAACTGCTCTTAGTACCTAACTTCCTCAAGACAAAGATCTGTCTTTTTCATAACTTCTCTAAGTTGCTTGGGCAAAGAGTGGAGAAGGCTAGATAGAGGAGAATGTTTTAAACTTTAATTTTATTTTACCTTGCCTTTTTTTTTTTTTGAGAACCAGTTTGACCAAATGGTTACCTGCCTCAGTTCCATATATTCTGAGATGACTGAATTTAGATTGCTTGCTATTCACCCAGTGAATTTACTTTAAAGAAAAGCAGTTTCATGAATTACAAGTGTTTCTAGTTTCTATCCACATGAATGTGGCATGGTCCAGAGCAGGCTTCCACTGTCCCTCATTGTGGTCCACATAGAGAAATGATAAAATGCATACAGACCTGAAAAGACTGTCCATTTCGAAGTCACTGGGATTATGACTGCCTTCTTTCCACCCATGCCCGCTGCCAAGTGGATTGAATTTAATGTCTTCTGCGCTATTCATTTCTTTCTGGCAGAAAAGCTAACACATAGCCAACCTTTGAATTCTTACTGTATACAAGTGTTAAATTTTTTACACTTATTAGTCATCACAACCCTGTAAGGTAAGCATAGTTATTACACCCATTTTAAAATGAGGAAACTGAAGATTGGGAAGGTGAAATGACTTGTTCACGGTTGCCCATCCTGAAAGCAACTGAGCCCAATGACTCAGACACCCACTTTCCTAACCACCACCTTATACAGTGGCACTACAAGGAGATGTCCCATTACCGCCTTTAAGTTATGCTGTGGGGAGCAAAGCCAGAGAGTATTTAAATCACCCATGTTAACTCTTTATCCCTGAATTGGAAAGGAACATCTGTTTAAATGAGAAACAAAACGTGCTAAGATGTTGAGTGATTTCAGATCAGGTTTCTCACTTTAAAAATCTTTTATACTTACTACAGCTTGTACATATATCCAGGTAACTGTACAAGTATTTTCTCATATATAAAAATATAGAACTTTCTTTTATATGCTTTTTATAAACTGATACCATTATAGAGCTAAATTGTTAAAGTTGTTTATAGATAATAGAAATCATAATAAGAAAGGGATACCCAAGGTTTTGCAGCCTTAGATATAATATTTATAGAGAGGTTTGGTATTTAGCACTTCTCCCCAAGAACTTGCCTACTTGGAAAAAAAAAAAGAACCCTTTCTGGATATATATCCATTTTTATATCTTAGTAATAGTTCCTAGGCCTACTGTTCACAACATGGTTTTACCTACATAAAGTAAGCTCTTAAATGGTATAGGTTGAATAACGAATGATTATTCATTATTGCTAAAGATATTTACCAATCAGAACTGGAGCTGAATTCACCCTATACCTGAAATGATTAGAACATATCAAATATTTGCATTAAAGAAATAATTTCTTAATCTACAAGCCAAAAAATGCTTCTTTCACATAATATGCAGTGTTTGCATTTTATGAAAATTCAAAATCATAATACTATAATATAAAATATAATCTCACTTTATGTAAGAAATCTGAAATAATGAAAAAACTTTTTCAATTTTTATATTTTTTAATTATAGTTGACATTCAATATTATATTAGTTTCAGGTATACAGCATAGTGATTAGACATTTATATAACTTACAAAGTGATCCCCAATAAGTCTAGTGCCCACCTGGCCCCATGTATAGTCGTTACCATATTATTGACTGTGCTTTACTTTACATCCTGTGACTATTTTGTAACTGCTAATTTGTACTTCTTAATCCCTTCACCTTGAGAAAAACTTGTAATTATTGTGAATGACTTAATGTTAAGGTGTTGGGCCAAGTGAGCTCTAACCTGTGTTTAAGCGATTACACACTTCAGCTGGTCAAGCAGAAACACTCGTCTTCCTTTGTCAAGAAGATAAAGAGGTCTTCAAAAACTTATCCCTCTTGTGCCACTTGACATAACTTACGTTGAATAATGTGTTTAACCCCCTAAAAAGAAACTCATTCTCAATCATACAGATTTAACAGAAAAAAGGTGGTGGATCTGTAGGAAAGGCTGTCTGCTGCTGTGTTTCCTGGGCCATCTGACTCTGTCTGGAGAGCGGAGGAAGAATCTTGGCATGCAGTATTTTTTCAGTCGTTTTGTCGAAGCTCCAGGTCTCCCACGTTTACCTACCATGTTTTTAAAATAGAGAGGAAAAAACATTTTTATCACTAGTTGTCCTAACTAGTACAGAAGAACGTGTCTCCTTTTCAACTAAATTTATAGCAGTTCAGACTTTGGTAGTAAGAGTGACCTCAAGCAGATCAGTATTTTACATAATTATGATTTTTATCAACATTCAAGAGGTATACATAAAGGGTAATTTCAGTACCAAAGATTAAAAATTTAATGCTAAATTTTAATGAGTTCAATGGTAACATTAGCTTTTAAAAAAAACCCCACCATGTTTATATAAATAAATAATAATGAAACTTGAATACTTTTCTCAAACACTACTCCTGGCAGAAGTGAATTCCATCATATTAAGGGGAAAAGCAGTGTATTAGGAAAATGCCAATCTCTTTCAACAAAATAAAAATCCCCATAGTGCGGTTTTGACCGTGTTCGATTTCAAAAGATCTGAACCCAAATGTGATTTGTAGTTTTACCTTAGGAAATTCAGTAATTTTCCTTCCTTATTCTTCAGGATTATTTCTCACCACATTGATGAGGCTAAGCATTTCTGAATTTATTTAAACCAGAGACTCTCAGAGGTTTGGAAGTCTACATAATATACTTAGCAAATAGGAGATGCTTTAAAGCTTTAGTCTTATTTAAACTACCAAGCTAAAGCAGATAGGTGGAACCCTTGGAGCAAAGTAGGACTACACTGGCAAATTAGTTACCCTATTGCATCCTGATCTACCAGAGAACTGATCTAGAATCCTCTAAAGCCTTGGTCCCCACCACCCGCATCCTTGCGAGCTTGATAGAAATGCAGATTCTCAGGTCCCACCCCAACCTATGCACCTGCATTTTCCCAAGCTCCCCATGTGGTTCATAGGCACATTAAAGTTTGAGAAGAACCAACCTAAAGAAACCTTGCAATTAACCCAGAGACCAAGGGGAATGGGACTGTGTCCAAAAATTGAAAAAAGCGATGGCAAGGAAGAATTCACGTATCATTTCCTTAACACGTTCTCTTTTTCTTTTTTATGTGTGGGGTGTTTTTTTTTTTAATTAAATTTATTGGGGCGACATTTGTTGGTAAAATTATGTAGGTTTCAAGTGTACATTTCTATAATACATTATCTATCTATTGCATTGTGTGTTCACTACCCAGTCTTGAAAAGCCGCACTTATCTTGGCATGCTTCGGATTTAAATCATTTTCGGTAAAAAGATTTCTGTTCGTGTTTTGTTTTGTTTTAATTTCTGTGAAAATGACGTGTCTGTCTAACCTTACAAGTATGGCTGGCCCCTTGTAAATGTGTTTTTTGCTGACACGCTTGTTTTTCATTTTTAGTCCTGACATAACTCTCCCTGACGAGCAGCCACATTCCAGCTCGCAGTGCACCCCTCTCCACTGTCTCTCCAAGCCTTCTTACCCCTTGTCTTCATCTCCCGCGGACGAACATCTGGGGTGAACGGTTCTGTAGCCACACACAGGATACTGCCCAAGACCCAGCGAGTGTTTTCTTCACGGGTTGTTCGGTGTATGATGGGAGTAAAGCCCATCATTTTGGAAGACAAAAAGAAGAGAAGAGTAACACAACGCACAGACTCCGGTGTGATAAAATGTTGTATGGTTTCTCTAAGTACAGATAAACTTCAGCAATCAAGTGGCTACAGTTTAGTTAAATAAATAAACCAAACAAAACGAAACAGGACACATGTATCTCAGATGGATGGCGTTACCTCGATAAAATAAGAGAGACTTACGACAATGTAAAATGCATATATTGTAAAATCACCTTTCCTCTTACTTCACATTTGGCTATAGAAGTTGATTCCAATATTTTTTCATCATTGATATTTATTTTGTACTTTATTTGCCACATGATTTATGTCTATAAAAATCATTCCTGTAAGAGGTGAACTTAATTCATTTATTTCTAAGTAAGAATAATTTACTCTATTAATTATGTTTTAATTTAGTTGGAGATCTGGAGTTGGCCAGACTTGTGGTCATTTTTCTTGCACAGAATGATAAATGAGGTGCATCGGAATGTTAACAATAACTATTTTGCTGCTACGCTGATATTGTTTATGCACTTATTTTCTAATTAGTAGCTCATTAACTGCTGGATTTTTTTTTAAACTAGAATTCTTCACTGGACATTAAGTAAATCTAAGAAAGAGACTATGTTATGATTCACTGACTTATTCAACTTTTGATGGCATCTTTAATTTTTTAAATTGCAGGCAAGTAGATGCACTGGTGCTGCTCCTTTGTGTGTGTGTTTGTGTGTGTGATAATGTTAAAGAAGGCTAAATAACATGAAGGGGAAAAAATGGTGTGTTTATTTAATAGCCAGAATTTTTTTTTAACTTCTCCCAAATTCAGGGTCCTACTATGAGTCTTTCCTGCTAACAGGTATCAAGTACAAATGGAAAAATATATACATAGATAGATGTAAGTTAGCCTTTGGTTAATGGATTTATCCAGAAAGTGTTCAAATTTTGATTAAAATTGTATGTTTCGTTGTTGTTGGTTTTTTTCATAATGAATCTTCCTTGCCAAAAAAAACAAAAAAACAATAGATAATAAACCTTAGCTCATTGTCTACTTTTGACAAACACTCAGGTGCCTACAATCATTATATTATCTATGTTGAGATAATACATGTTCCTAGTTAATTTACAGATTCTGTGGGGTAACTTTTATGACTTGACTTAAGGCAGTGGATTTTCATAGCGAAATTTATTTTGCACATAATCTGACAAACAAGGAAAACAGCTAATTGAGCTGAAAGGTCTAACACTCTTGGGCTCCTTAACTATCAAGTGCTGCCCACACAATTGCTCCTAGCCCTGATTCCTTGTCTGGTCAGGTAGCCTTAACTTATTTAAAACCATAATGGTTTGACCTTTTCATGTAACGATATCTGTAACTTCTCTTTAAAACAAAAACAATCCTCACTGTTAACACAAAAGAAACAATGCAGGGCTCTAACAATGGAGATCTAGTAAGAGCCACTCACCTTATTGAGTGGAAGTGGGTGGGACATTAATGGAACAGTCCATCAAAGATGGCGGCCAATTGGTAAGTCATTAAAGCACAGTACAGGAGCTTTCATTAGTCGTACACCTATTAAGTAGTGGTCACTATTACCAAAGCAACCAAGATGTTTTGAGTTTCTTATATCAGTGCTATTTTCAACAGTGTCCTTTATTATGCAACTTGAAGTAGTTGGAACTCTTCACCATAAATAGGGAGTCGGGTTAAAGTACAGAAAAAGAAACATTCTTCATAAAGTCTTGGTCATGGCAGCCTAACCTTCTGTTCTTTCCTACCTGTGTTGCCTTGCTGTTCCTAAACATTTTCTTCATTGTATTGGTGTTGTATCTGCTTGGAAACCAGTATTAGTGAGACAGTGTGGATTATATTAGAGTTCAATTAAAGGAAGCTGCCACCTCCCTACCCTTACTCTTTTCTTTTTTTTTTTCCCCCTTCCCTTCCTTCCCTTCCCTTCTCTTCTCTTCTCTTCTCTTCTCTTCTCTTCTCTTCTCTTCTCTTCTCTTCTTTTCTTTTTTTCAAGCATCATGTTTAGACCTGAGAAGTGGCATGGATGCAAAGTTGTCTTTTAATAAAAAGTGTTTGTGCCTGAGGGAAAATATGCCTTTTTTAAAAGTACCTCAGAACATCTTCCTATATTGTCTCATTGGTGTTGGTGGTGGTACATGAATTCAGCATTAAGTGTTGTCTCTGTAGCTATAAGGCAGTAATGCCTACTGACAGTGCAGTATTGCATTTTATGCTCCCTTACTCTGTATTTACGAACTGGTAAAAGACCAGAACACAGACATCGAATTTATTTCTTCCAATATAAAGTTTAGCAAGTCTATTATACATGAATTTTATTTCAGTTCCTTTATGTCAACAGAGTGGGAAATGTCTGTTTTGAAATATCAATTCTAGAAAAATTTTAGCAAAACTTTGCCAAGAAGATATAGAAACTTGGAAATAAATTTCTAATTTTCAACACAAAATTAGGTAAAAGTCTGCAAGCAGTAAAAGAGAATTCCGTGTATTTGCACTGTGGCATCATTTAGTATAGTTTAAACTGAGCTGTATCTGTAGGCACTTATTTATAGGTATTTAAAATGAATAAATATATGTAGCATTGATAAAAATCAGTACCTGTAAAGAAACATCAAGATTCAAAAGGAAACTGAAAAATTGAAGAACTAGTGAAAATCAAAAAACTAAACCTCAGTAAGACCAGTTGAAGAGAAATGTTGGAGAGGGAGGAAGACTACATAAACATAATAAAAATACTGTCTTATTATTGCAAACATGGTGGGCAAAGATTAAGGTAACTAGCAAGAGTGTTTACCAAAGTAACCAGGTAGTTTTTTAAAAGTAAGCACAATTACCATTCTGGAAAGTATAGAATGCAGAAATGCTTTCCTACTGAGGATTTTTCTTAGTTAAAAAATAAAATAAAAAGAGCAATAAATTGTCTTCGGCCTGAGTGCTCAGGGGATACAGTACCCTTGGGTTAATCTTTCCAATCAACTCATGATTCACTGGATCACTTTCATGTATCCAGTTCTATTTCAGTAAGAGGAATTTGGATAACTTTGAGAAAACAGCCTTCAGGGTGATGGATTTATATTAACTCTAGGAAAATGATTCTTATCAGTGGAAAATTAATCATTGACATTGATAATTATAAGGAAGATTTGTTTTTTTAATTAAATATTATTGGTTGTCATAGTAGGGATTAAGTGGCAAAATATCTTATGATAATGTATTATGATTCTAGGATATCATAATCCTATAATTCTTTTAAATTTAAAAATAAAGTTATTCTGGTTAGTCAAAGTATTTTATTCCTTGAAAATAGGATAGCAATCTTAATTTTTCTGAAATATTTGGTAAAAAAACAACAAAAAAAACCAAAACAGGATTACTGGTATTTTTCTTTGCAACTGTATTTCATAATATCTTTAAAGTCGTCCCGAATGTAGTAATTTACTCTATAAAGCTTCAATTGTCAGAGTCTAAAAAAAAAACAAACATCCTCAGGAATACTTCAGAAATAAAAGGTGTGCGATTCCTTAGAGGGGTAAATGCCTCTCAAACTTGATCTTTTCTTAAAAGAATCTTCAATCTACAACATTTGCTTTTTCCATGCTTTGGAAAATATTCGTGAACCAGATAGTTGTTCAGTTTCAAACAACTATGAAACGTGGGTCAAATAAACCATGAATATGAACATTTCCTGATATTTGGCATTAAATAAAGTCCTCTGCAATTCTCAAGTGGTAATTACAAAATATGAAAAGGAAGAAATAAAATATATTTTCTACTGGGATAAGAATGGCAAGTTTAATGTATGATTGTTGTCATCAGTCAGCCAAAAGACATCATCTGTCTCTCAGAAAGACTCACCAGGGGAAACTGGTTGATTTCCAGTAAGCAACTGAGCTGGCTCAACCCAATGATGCCACAAATGCATTAATGTAGATATAAAGTAGGACTAGATTCAAAAGGAACACTTAGGATAAAGTTCACAATTTTAAGACTTTACCTTCAGTTTGTTTGTTTGTTTATGAACCAGAGTGATTTAAAATAGCCCTTCTATTTATGATTGCAAAATTCACAAGAATATGTTGTTAAATAAAGGGAACATAATTCTTCAAAAAGCTGTTGAACTGGAGTTGTGATAAGTAGTATGATCAGTGCTGATACTGACATAATTTTTACCTTAAAATCAATTTCTATGGACATAACAAGAGCAATCTAGCTCCGAGTGATCTTTTCCATTGTCTATAATAATGCCCCCAGATGAGCTGTGTCTGTAATTAAATTCATTTTTATTTAAAGCCAAATTAACTGCCGTTGTCCCTGATGTATTGCATTTGTAGCCTGATTCCATTCTAACATCTGAAAGATTTAGTCTAGATATCTCTTCCATCCTTCTTACTCAAAGTATCACTGAAAAAGATAATTAGTATTAAAATATGTTCCCCAATCGAGGATTTTCTAGAAAAAAATATTCAACTTACGAAGAAGAGCAGAAATTAACTGCCTTTAGAGTAAGGGTATGAGTGCATAAAAGTATGCAGTGTAAAATGTTTGCATGAAATATTTTGCATCATGTAAGCTTTCCCATATTCATAAAGTGAACACTATAAAAGTCTTATTTCTCTTGTGATTTCTCCATTAGGAATGTAAGGAGATTGTTACCTATATCTGGTCTCCTTTCCATATTGAAATGCATGGCTCTAAACCTCATTGTATTTTTATCCCTTTCCTCTGGAATTATTTAAAAGTTCTCCTATTTAAACTTAAGTCTAGATAAATTGCTGAGCCAGATTATTTCTGTGATTGGTGTTTAATTGCTGTATAACATTGGTTGAGAACACATTTTTATTTCAACTTTTTTTCTTTCAGAGTTATGCTCTGATCATTATGGTTCTCTAATGAAAACACTGAGAAGAAAATCTGATGTGTTCTAGTGTGGCTGTGTTTTTCTTTTTAAAACGTATTTTAAAAACAGATCAGAGAGCTATAAAGAGAAATGTCATTTTGTTGATGAATCATTATTCAATGATAATGGTGATGCAGAATGAATCATTTTGTTGTTTGGGTTCATAGTATGATTGTGTACTAAACTGTAGATGAAGTAAATAATTTTAACATTATTGCCACAACATTTTTAAGCTCAATGGTTTGACTGTTAGAGTCAATTAAACAATTCTTTGAAAATCTTTTATGACATTTTTGTAATCTACTCAGTGTTTTTATTTGCATGATTATGCATATGTGATGAACCATACTTGATTCCGATACTGTATTTCTTTCCAGTATTAACATTTATGTAATGAGTGGCCAATCTCAATTTCTACACTGTATGATTATTGTTATAATGATTGTGCTATTCCTACATTTAATTGCAATTTTGTTATTATGCCATTTGGGATTGGTTAAACGATGTGAAGTGTTTCCACCTAACGATAATATCATATAAAACATGACTAAAAGACTGACCTAAGAAACTCTTTTGTTGCTAATTATTTTTTAAAATTCAAATTTAAAAGGAAACTTGTTCTCAAAGACATATGCATTTATTTTAAATTCAAAAAAATTCTTATGAATTTATTTCTTTTTGTTCTTTAAAATTTTCTTATTGTAGACAATCCTAAGTGACTGTCTCATGGGAGTATCCATATATGTGCTTGCATTTGTGTAATCTGATCATACACTCAATGGCTGGAAAAGGTACTCCAGTGCTAAGAAAATAACTGAAGCCAATATATTAATTCTTATATCTTGGTTTATGTTACCAACTGAATATGGTGTAATGCATAACTCTTTCCAGTAAATAAACTGGTTATCTTTTGTTCATTTCATCTATGATAACTTTTTATTAGTTTGAATAATTTTTCTGTATGTCATTTTGCTTTGTACCTACAAAAGAAAATAGTTCATGACTTTCTACATGATTTATAAGTTTATTCAAAGTGAGCACTTATCTGAACTAAAAACAGAATGCTTTGCTTTGACATTTCTACACATTCCTTATTAAGAAATGTGTATTGCCTTTGCCCATTTTCTCCATTTATCATCTCTCCTTGTAATCTTTTCTAAAAGGTTATTTTGGCAGGAGGATACCTTTAGCTGAATTAGGTTAGCAATGTACCAATATGAAAGAAATGCCTTTTCTAAAAAATGTTATTTTACTGAAAGAAGCATGATTTTAATGAAGGAAGAATGCTTTATTTGGGGAGAGAATTCTTTGTTTTCTTCCTATGAAGGAACTGCAGAGTCCCAAAACTTTGAGAAAGCTTAAATTCTTAGCTCCTTCTTCAAATATATGTTGTAGCAAATCATCTACTTTGGGAGTTATCTGCTTTGACTTGACTTTATTTTGGAAGACAGGAAAGGTGGGGGGACCAGATAAAATATGGACCTATGTGAGATTCTAATGAGATAAATCCTCTAATACAATCCTCATTATAATGAATCAGATTAACCCACCATGGGCACGGCAACAATCCCAGCTAATGTTCCCTGCTTACCTGTTGTATCAATACAACACTAGAAATGATAGTACAAACTTTATTAAAAAAAACTGTCATTTTTCTCTTCTGAAAGCTATTGTTTTTCTTTGAAGTTGGATCTACAAGTCTATTTGGTCCTTGATCTTCTCTTCTGCAATAAAGCTGGTAATTTGTTATATTCAAAAGCTAAAACAACTGGTTCAGCCTCCAGGAGTGGCAAGAGAGTCTCTTCTCATTCCTACATTTTGCAAGTGACTTGAATAGCACTATATTGTTGTGAGGGCAACATGGAGGGCTCCTACAACCCTATTCACTGGGTGTAACAAAGAGGCCAAAATTGATGGGAATTTGTGCAAGGGATTTTCTTATGTTTTTGATTGTATATTCATTGACTAGTATATTGTAGGAACTCAATAAAGTGTGTTCCTTGCCACTTAGCTTTTGTAAAATAGCACATCTAAAATTGAGTTTATAGAACCTAATGTCACCTATTAGAATATCTGGGCGAAACGGTCTTTAAGTTAAGTGAATGGTTATTCTTATCCTTGTCTCTTGGTCAATCTAAAATCTAGATCTCTCTCATTGTATTTGAAGGCGCCTTAATGTGTACAATGAAATCATCTGACAGAGTTCCTTAAACATTTTATGAATCAACTATCACTTAAACAGTTTAAGAAGAAACTCAGAATAATTCGTCTACGACATAACTGTCATGGAAGATAAATCTTACTGGAAAAAATATTGCTATTGTCAAATGTAAACACAATTTATAATATAATTTAAATATAGAAAGCAATACAAAGATAAATCATAACTCCAGTGACATCCTGTTAAATAGTAAGGAAACATTGCAGCTGTCTACATACTTTGTGAGACACAGTGTAAAATGAACATGTGCATCTCCTTGTTCAAAACTTATTAAGAATTTCAAGACAGTGAGAGTAGAGCTTTACCAAGCAGGGAGTCTTAAGCATGGGACTCTGTGTGACTAGAGGTCCACAGGCTGCCTATGAAGCCAGCATTGGCCCCAAATATGCAGGAATAATCATTCAAGACCTCAATGCTGAATGTAGCTATTCAGAATCTGGGCTTTATTTTTAACAGAATGGATTTCCCAGTTTCTGTGCTTAGAAGAAAAAATAATGTGTTTATGTTCTGGGGAAAAAAATGAATGCTATTACTTCAAAGTGTTATAAACTTCAATCTCACAATACTCTCATATTCCAAAGCAGCCATATGTTTCAACTCAAAATTTCCAAACTCTCACATACCAAGTTTAACAGATTATAAAAATCATTAAAATAAACCTTCAAAATATCAGCAGTAAACAATTACTGTGTATTAAAGTAAAAGTAATTTAAGAACCCTACTGGTACCTTCCTATCTTGACTTCCTTTGAAATTTTAAATTATTAATAATGTCAGTCAAATGTCACAGGAAGATTTACATCATTTAAAAGAGCTATTAGCCCAAGATTAATAAGTGATTCAAATAAACTTTTCTTCCTAATAAATAAAAGGAGAAATTATTCACTTCATTGAAGTCCATCGACACAGAAAATATGGGCTCTCATGTTATAGTAAGCTACCTTATATGTAAAAAGGGATGAAAATAACATATTTTTTTCTTGTTTTAGACAAAATAACAGTGGAAACCTATATAAATGGTTATAAAAGAGCGAAGGATTGGTGGGGAATGGGATGATGTTGAGGGGGGAGTTTGGCAGCCAGATTCCTCTGCAGGTAAATGTATTTTTATATTGTTTTACTATTTCAAACATGGAAATACAGTATCTATTAAAAAATGAAAATATAAAGAAATATGGGCCCTCAAAAATTTCACGGTGAAGTCAGAAATAAAAATTAGCATGAATTCTGGAGAAATAATTGTTCTATAGCAGGCTATGTCAGCAGAACTATTTTTAAAAGCAGAATTTTGTGCAAATTCTAGCCCTGGCATTTATCAGCTCTGAGACTTTGGAAAAGTACTTAACCTCTCCAAGCCTCAATTGTCTCATTTTCAAAATGAGGATTAAAAATTGTCCTGAGATAGTTCAGCAGCATTTACATATGAGATATGTAACAAAACAAATCATAACAAAACCACGACAACCAGAACTAAACTATATAAAAAAAAAAAAACAACCATGCTGTAGGTAGCAGAAAGATGAGAAGGCCTATTCCACAGCAATAAAGTTTTCTAAAACATATGTGCCTGATTTAAGTAAATTTCCCAAATATTTCATTTATTTAGTCAGTCAGTCAGTCAGTCAGTCATGGAGGTAGTGTATTCTTTGAGATTTCAGGATTGGTTAGATTTTTAAAAATCTGATGGCCTAAAAATAAGGGATGTGGACAGCTAAGGTGATTGCTAAAATGCAAACCTGACGACATTACTCTTTACTTAAAACTCTTAAAAATCAGTCCCTTGTCATCAGAATAAAGTCCTAATTCTACCATGACGTACATGACCCTTAATGATCTGACCTTACTTTCTCTCCAGCTTCATTTCTCAATTCCTGTGCCCCAGAAGCACACTTTGTCTCTGTCTCTTTCCTTCCCACCCTCCCCGCTCCCCTTGTATGTCCTGTTTCTTCTACTAGGGTAACTCTTTATCCCCTCCATGAGGCCAACTATTCATCTTTTGAGGCTCCCTTAATTTTGACTAACTTTAGGAATCTTCTCCTGATAGTCCAGGTTCAAGTTCGGTGCCCCACTCCTAATCTCATGAAACTATGGGCTCTGTTATGCCAGGGACTGTGTACTTTAGAAAATAACTGCTTTCTTTCCAGTTTCCAAATGATTTTTAAAATACACTGACTGATCACTTCCTTTGAAAGAGCAATAGTGGTCAGTTTTAGTACAAGGCCAAGCTTATATATATACCATGACAGTTTCCAAGTGACAACTCAAATTTGTGCAACTTCTAAGAGGTGTGTATCTATATATCCTTACAGAGATCATTATATATGCAATACCTGATCAAAATATAGATAGGGAAATTAACATGTTAGAAATAATACAATCTACATATATATGATTTCACATATATATTAAACTTTACTGAAATCTCAACTTGCACCAACTCAAAATATCATCCTGTTTAGTGCGTTCCTGTTAAAATGAATGTATCACCTTCAATTAGGTCTTCATGAAATTATCTTCTGAATGTCAGCCCCCTAATGCTATTACATAAAGCCAGCATGATTCATGCCTTTTAGTGACCTTTCTTACTCTAATGACATTTATATGAATTCCTACCAAGTGATAGCATCAAAGTAAATAATAAATTTATAATTCATTTACTGAGGAAATAACACAATTTATTATTAAAATAAAGAAGTTTTTATCTTTCTCTAGTGAGATTAAAATAAAAGTGAATCTGTTAGTGTTGATTTCTATTAAATTCTAATTTGGGCAGTGATATTCTATCAGTAATTGAAGCAGCTTATTGATGATTCATTATTTTTCCTCTGAGTTTTCTTTTTTGATTTTATTTTGTTTTTTTGGAACTAGACCAATCTGAGACTGGTTATGTTGATAAAATTAAATTGAATGTTTGTTTAAAACATTTTAATTAGAGTTAAAAGACATCAATATACATATAATTTTGATACACTGGAAAATATAAAAATTAAATTTAAGGAAGATGAATCAGCCCATAGTCTTCCTGTTATTATGTTAATTCCTAGGAAAGGGGTGATTCTGGGCTGCCAGCTCCTCTGTATATAGTGGCTCCCCCCCTGGTCTAGGGCTCCAGGTTCTCCAGCTGGCAGTTGAAGAGGGGTAGAGAATTACATGGCGAGGATGCAGAAGCCAGGTCTGGAAGTGATATGTGTCATTTCTGCTCACCTAACTGTAAGGGAAGGTTTAAATCAGTCTCCTTGTGTGCCCAAGGAAAATGATACAGCATTCAGTCAGCATTCAACATTGTCTCTGCCACAGATACGAAGTATAAGCACCTGTGTATTGTGTGCATCTCTGAATTTCAGGACCCAGCAGTTTCCATTCAATATGTATTAATGAATTAGTGACAAACTTCCTATTAACTATATAAACAAAATAGTATATAGTAAGACTCTGTGTATGATGATATTCAATACTTTGTTCTACTCTAAGCTAACTTGAGGTCAAATAAAGTTCGGTTGACCCATTCATTTAGTGTTGCAAAACGTAGTCATCAAATGCAAAGTCCCTTCTGTCAGAAAGTTATAAGCAGCAGTGACATAAATAGGGGTAATGTCAGATGATATATATGTTATAAAAATTCCATCTGAAAACACAGACACCCACTGATATGAACTTATATATTATTAGGTAAATGAAAACAACTTGAACCAAGAAAGAAAT